ATATTTTTGATATTTTATTGCATGGTATATATTGATTGATAATAGGAATGTTCCTCTCCCAAACCAGATTTGCGTGTTACGCCTTCCATTTTTTGCTGAACTGGGGATCGGCCCGCTTTCGTGAAAATCCTGTGTTCATTCTCAAACCACCCTCAGGACCGGCCCCGCCCGACAGGATATTCTGGAGACAAACCAGAGCTTCAGACTCGGAACTCTACAGTAGAAGATTCAACGCATGATAATATGGAGATTGGAAGATTGCCGGTCAGATAACATTGGTTATCATTGTTTTAAATCGTGGGATTTTCAAGTAGATGGGAATTCGGTGAATTGCATTGGCACTTGGCTTCTCCGGTGTCGCAAAAGGTTTTGAGCTTCCTTTCCTACACGCTCTCGTGGCTGATCTTCGGACCTGGAATTTTCTATTCGCCATACCGCACCCACGATTGTCATCTGAACACGAAATTCTTTGCCCATGGGAAACCCGTCGCGAGGTCGGGATATCTCGTGGTTTTGGGAGAATATAAAATCGAGTATTACGGCCGTATCGAAGGCTTGTCGCACCGGTTGTCATTTAAGACCGAGGACTGTGCCTCTTTGCTCCATGCATTACAGCATACTATAAGAGAAGGGGGAAGTATGTATTTTTCTACTAGCACTCATAATGGAACCGGGACCTCCAGTACAACCAGATAATAACTTCACCGCGGGTTTTCTTCTCGGTCCATGGGTAGGCGTTTTTGCCTATTATCGCTCCACTCGATGCTCACTGGCAGAACTACAGCTCGTCGGTCTTTGCGCTGACCTATACCTTCAGGGGATCCTGTCTGTTCAGGTTCGAATGGTTGTTGTTTTTATAACGCTAGGAGGAATAATCCACGCAGCAGATGCTGAATTACTTTTCGTGGTACGGAAAGAACGATAGAGTGACAGCTCGAGCGTCCGTTGGGTTCCTTGCTTTGATCACGACGCTTAAGTCAATCCAGGTCTGCTGCCCCCTGTTTTTAAGAGCCCTTCCTTTAGCCTGACTCGTCGATTTCTAGAGCTTGTACGTGGCTACCGTCAAGGCTTACAAGAGAGACTAACAAAGACTACGACTTAAAAAGTGCCATCGTCTGGGTCGGGCTAATTGAAAACTTTGCAGATATTCAAAGCGCTGGTCGACATTTGTACGCTCCATCTCCTGCGAGACTTACTTATTCCCCATGCCTGACTATTCTACTACTTCAGATCTGGGGCATGGTATGAAGCCGGTCTGTCATGCACCGCTGACATTGCCTCTCGTAATAATAATCTTCCGAGCAGGAAACCCGCTGATGGTCGCTCTCATAAGTTTTTATGTTCAATGCTACTTTTGCTATAGATTATGGGTCGTGTCGGAGAGGTGGTGGGTAGTTCTGCCCATTGTCCTAGTGTGCATATTTGCTATCATCGCTGCCATATTGACTGTAAGTATACGGACATACTAGGAGGATTCAACTCTCACTGTTTTAGGTTCAAAGAATTGTTCACTTCGAGGCCAGCTTGCCTTACTGGAGTAGGCGCTTCTTCACATTATCTCTGCCAGCTAATCTCTTATTCTATTAGTGTCTGCTCATTTCGCAACCGTTTTCGGTAGGCATAATAATCTTTGTATGGACCTTGACTCACTCTGTCGTAGTCGCAGATGTGCTGCTGGCGGTAACAACAGCGTTTTTTCTCCTGAAGACCCGAAGGAATGTTATGCCGCAGTTAGTCTCCTTGTCGTAGTTGCCTCTGATGCATAGGCTGACACGCACGTTAGAACTGTAGGCATGATCAACGCACTGGTACGGCTCACGTTCCAAACAGCAATGCCTGCCGTCATATGGTGAGCAAGCTTAGAACAGTGCCTTGCCTAGAATCACTCACACGGTGCAGTGCCCTTCTCACTCTGATCTGCGTCTACCTTCCGCCGGATAAACCTAGAGTCGCGAACACATTCAACCAAGCTCTACCCAAACTGTACGCCATCAGTATGATGTGGACCCTCAACGCCCGGAAAGACATTCGCGTCTTTTACTATGGCGACTCGATCTCCAGGACGGAATCACGGCCCCAAAGGCCTACTATCACGGGTACTTATTCGATTCAGGTTGCTACTCGTACGGAGGTCCTCCAGGTGAGTTGTTCCTGCCGGTTGCTGAGGAATGTTTGTTGACGTTGATCAGATATCGGATGCGGATACGGGTACAGAGGCAACAACGAGAGAAACCGAGATTGACGATGGAGATTCGTACGTTCGAAAGGAGCAAATTACTTAGATAAATTTGCAGTTTCTGAAGTAAATTATGGATATTAAGACGTGGAAGTCGCCGTGAAACACGAATTGTTGTGATGTATAGATAGCTACAGATTTGAGGACACATCAACATTGACGTCTGTGTCAAGCTCTTCGATTGATGGTGTTCTGGTTTGACGTCTGAGATGATATCAGAGCGCGTTGTTCCGCAGTGTGAAGAGCCAGACTCACCGCCATCACATATCCTTCTCAGATCGGTCATCTCTCTCCCACTCCCTTCGTGTTTCAAATATCTCAACTGCTCTCTCGATCGGAAACAGAAGCTTCCCGGCATCATGGTATACCTTTGAAGGCCACATGAAATGGACATTCGGATGAAGGCGCGTAATCCTCTCCATTACCGGGTAAATACTATCGTACTCGGCTCTCGATGTGGCACAGAAACCGCTACTTCTCACTGGATATGACGGTTGGAGGATAATTGTAAGATTCGAGGGTATGGGCATCCTGTCAAAGCATCAGCCAATGAAACTCGCACACAAAAACAGACTGACTGAATGATTGCACGCTCCGGGTCATAGCCTAACACCCACTCTCTAATAGTTTCCGCGACACCTTGAGGGACATAGCTGGGTTGAAGCTCCTTGGGGAGCTGGTACGTACTACTGAACCCTGAGAGCCGGATACGGGTGAGATTAGGAAAGAGTCGGGAAAAGTCGTCGAGCGAAGGTAGCGAAAATAGTATATGAAGATGCAGATGAGTGACCGACGGGAATTTTGATGAATCAAAAGGTAACGAAGAAGGAAACGTCTCTGTCATCCCACGACGAGTGAAGATGGTGAGCTCTTTCAGTTTGGGGAAGGCTTGTTGTACGACAATGTCGAGGCGCACACTGTCGCCGTGCACGGGCCAGCCGTCCCATGGCGGCTCCTTGTATTCCGAGTACGAAAGAGCCTCTAGTCCAGGCGCTACTCTCCTCAGAATCTGGCCTAGCAATGCCTGCTGGCGGAGTATCGCGTACTTCAGTTTGATATCCTTCTTCGCCCTTTCGTGTCTCTGTTCCTCGCCGGCTACCCTTGACAAATGCTCCTCGTCTTCGTTGGCCAGTTCCTCTTCTTCTCCCAATTGTACTTCGTTCTCTCGACGATGACCCCGGCCGTACATATCGCGTCATCGTATACATCCACGTTGTGCTTTGTCTCTACTTCGTGTGCAGAGGAATCGGATATCAAAAGCCGCGAGACGTGAATCGTTGAGTCAGATTCGAGATGGGCGACCAGTTGCGCAAGGCCGTTGTTGAGACCCGTGACGATGTAAACGCCCTCAAAAGGGTTGGCAAAATACAGATTCTGGCTCGCGCTAGCCATGGCGACGATTGTAAAGATAAAACGGGCGAATTTCATTACTCTCCAGAGTAAGAAAGAGTGTTTGGTTGTCAAACATAGCCTCCGGATGTGGCTTGATGGTGGCAAGAGGGTAAGCTGCGCGGCCGAGTCCTGATTAAGCAATGAACGCCTTAGAAAATAGCGCTGCGTCCCAAACATTGTTGTCCAAGTACTCTAAACTATCACAAACAAGCTCTTTGAGTTACCCTCAATGAATACCGAAGGTCAACCAACTTGAACCAACGATGACCCAGTCCATCTAACCGACCGTCTGATTCTCCATGGAGACTCCCATCAGCCTGCAGGAAAATATATACACTGGATATTTCCGTTCATCAGATAAAAGCGTGGTAGATAGATGGGACCAAATGCTCACGATCTGTTGCGCTCTGTGCCCCTTCCTTTATATCCTCTTTGGATGCACCAACGAGACAGGACATGCATCCAGCGTACGCCTTTCCGTTATCGTTGGAACACATGCACCCCACATCCGACAGAGTACAGGCCTAACATCCAAAATTAAAGAGACGTATGGGAAATGGGAAATAGTAGTACGCACACCAAGTTTATCGATTATCGCGCACTGATTTTGGCATATCGCCAATTCAGATGAGTCTGACCCGTCAAGTGGGAGCTCAAAGGCGCGTCGCATTGGAGGTACGACAGAGGAGAACGCTAAACATCGCACGAGTCGGCCTGAGGTAGCGTCTGTGACCTCAGAAGAGACTCACCTCCGTGAACGATCAAGAGAACCGAGAATGCACTAACAAGGGAATGGTTGACGAGCATTGCGGGTGGGTGATGCAGAACAATGGCACAATTGACACGACCTTATGTATATTCTGAATATAAGGCTGTGTACTTATAACGAAAGGCTTACCGTGGTACCACGCTGGCACATCATGGAAAATAACCTCGGTAACCAGGCTGCGACGATTGAATTCCGCAGAACACTAAGACCATCACATTTGGAAAGAGAATTGGAACAGTTACACAGCTGGCGAGATTGACGCTCACATCTGTATTGCTTTCATGGAATCAAGGAATCTGCGTTGGAAGCACTGGACTAATGCTGTTCTATGATCTCGTGTCTTGTCCTTACGTGAAGTCCTTACGCCAAGTATTCTCTGGGGGTTCTTTTCTTGGTGAATACGGTTTATCGCACTCTTCGTAAGATAGATTGATATCAAATATAAATAGGGTTTTGACTTCCGAGTCATAAGGTTGAGACGTACCTTCACTTAAAAGTTAAATCAATACACAGGTTACGAAACACTTAACGTACATAGTACATACTGCATTGTAATTTGTCACTTGAAATTCTTGCATCTTGAAAAAAGATGAAAGAACTTAACTGCCCCAGAGAGGCTCGAACTCTCGACCTTCCGATTGTCAGAACATAACAGTCGGACGCTGTAACCAACTCAGCCATGGGGCAGACAAAGGTAAGTATGACTCAGCATATTATGATACGCTGTACGAACGATCTAAGAGAGCCCTCTTATCTTTCTACACATCGTTGAGTCTAAGATTAAGGTGCGTCGGCTTCTGACCTTAACGTTTCAACATAGGGACAACATCAGGTGAAGATATTCTGTGGCTGTGAGAAAGTCAAGTCAAAAAATGACTTTCGGGCTTGCCTCGGGCTAGTCGGAAAGTCAGGGCAGCGACTTGCGCCCTTCTAACACTGGCCGACTTCATTAGAAGGCTGCCCCGAGTCCCCGACCAGCCCGAAACATATGCAGCCAGTATGCCGCCAGCATACCGCCGTGTCCACAAGCAAGTTTATAAAGCATCATCACCGCACTTCTACATTGAATATTGAACTCTTACCATGACTTCTCCAATCAAAGTCGGATTCGTCGGTCTCTCCAAGCAAGGCTGGGCATCCATTCTACTTGCCCCGACACTGCTCAAGAATGAAAAATACAGCCTCACGGCAGTATCCACATCGTCTCCAGAGTCATCCAAGGCATCGGCAGAGAAACAGAGCGAAGCAGTAGGCCATCCTGTAACGCCGTACTATGGCTCGACGTCCGAAATCGCTGCCGACTCCAATGTCGATTTCGTCGCAGTTTCCGTCAGGTCGCCTATCCATCACGACGCTCTCACCCCGGTTCTTGATGTCGGCAAGGATTTCTTCATCGAGTGGCCTGCTGGAAGGAACACCAAAGAAACTTCGGAGTTTGCAGAAAAAGCTCACGCGAAGGGTCTGCGATCAATGGTCGGGCTCCAGTGGCGGCATTCCGCTGTGGTGAAGAAGGTTTGAACTGGGTGCTGTTGTATTTCGCACAATGCTGATTCAATTCCTAGGTTAAAGAAATCATCGAGTCTGGAAAAATAGGAAAGATTCTTTCGACGTCTCTGGTGTGTATGCCTGTTGAAGATGCCGTCAAGTGCTTGCTGATCATCATCCAGGTTGGCCTAGCTCCGAGAGAACTAGGGTATTGGGGCCCGCGAATTAACAAAGCAAATGCAGCAACTACATCTGACCCCACTGCTGGTACGTTCGAAATCACCTGCTCGATAGGAGACCTCATCATTCAACAGGGTCGTCCATGCTGGACATCGTTATTGGCCATCACCTCGATGTCTTAACCTACATATTCGGTGAACTCGGCTCCCTCAGCGCAACTGCTGAAACCCTTTATCCTACAGCAGAGGTAGTAGACACCGAAGGCCATGTCCTCGAAACCATCGCAAACTCCTCAGCTGACCACATCGCTTTTACTGGGACATTCAAATCTGGTGTTCTTGTCAGCGAGAGCTGGCGTGGAGGCATTACCGCCACTCAAGGCCGACAACAACTTCTGTGGGAGATTGACGGAGAGGAAGGCTCTATCCGGTTGACGGACGATCAGATGAGCGCCGCTTTCGTGCACAGTCGGGACCTGAAGCTCTATTTGAATGGAGAACTCGTAGAGGTGGCGAGCACTGGGCTGATGGGAAACTTGGCTGCTGGATGGGCAGAGTTCGCCGAAGGAAAGGAGGGTACGCATGCGACGATTGACGACGCTGTGAAAATCCATCAAGTGATAGACGCTATAATCCTTAGCGCGAAGGAGGGCAGGAGGGTGGTGCTCTGAGATATCGGGCGTTGACCTGTCAGCGGCCGCGTTTATGTAGCGTTTGATCTTTCCCTTGAATACAATTCAGCATCCTTCCTTCGAGCCGTCCACGACGAGGCGCCGCTTGCAGTATTCTTGATTGGTATGATCTGTATAAGTTGAAGTAAGAGCTTGTTGACGACTGACGGAAGAAGTGAGATATTGGCAAGGACGTACGACGTCTATCAAATCCAATGTCTCCACATCCCTCGTGAGACACTCCACAACTCTAGCTCAATCACAATAAGAGATATAGCCTTCATACTAGCCTGTTCGTCAACAACCCGGCTTATCGAGCGCCAGGTGACGATCCAGGTCATCGAACAATGCCTTGGATTGAGCAGAGGTGCCATGGGCGACATCGAAGACTCGGGAAGGTAGTCAGCCAAGCATTGACTGGGCGGCTGAAGGCTTCTGTACCAGCGTCGAAAGCTCTTCGGCGCGTTCTTTGAGGGCATATTTGACGTCCTTGAAGTACCCGACGACAACAGCGAGTGTTGGCGAACTCTATGGCTTCCATAGATCAAGGAAGACAGTTTGAAGGATGTTGGAGCACTTACTGGAACGTTCAACAAGTTCTCGAATAAGCTCAGGCGACAGATACCTTGTCACAGCCAACCCATGCGCTTCCTTGACATACCAGTAATAGAAAAACAGTGAGCGAGCATCCTGCGAGCGCCGCCTTCTGCGTGAAGGAGCCCAGTATAGATCGCCGTCGTTGCTCGGTACTAAGTACTCCGGAGTGCTGGCGTGTTCAATACCGAAAAAATTGCCAGCGTGAATGCTGATGTAGGTATTAGTCGAGGTGTGATCAACATCGTCGTGGTGGAAGAAAGGGAAGAAGGGCCGGCTTTGTTTGTTTGGCGATCAATCGATCATGGCTGAGCCACACGGCGCAAACCTCGACGCGTCGTATTGTTACCAATCTTATGCGCACCATTTTTGTTCATTCATCCTGCACTGAAAGCGCGTTATGAAGCTACTTCATCTTCTACGACAGCCTGGGCGGCTTGCTCGTCGAATTTTCGGATTTCGTCTACATCCTGAGCGCTCAGCGTACTACATCTCAGCACAAACGGTCGCGGTGTCCTCAACTGAACAGATATCAATGTGGGACTTTAGTTATCTCTGGAGCTATGGTAAAATATCTAGGCCAAGGGATTTTGAGCGTAATGACCACCGTTGCCGTAGTGACGGTTCAATTCTGTTCCTTCGACGAGCTAACGTGTTACTACTGACAGTCTCCGCTCAGTTTCTCCACGGTAGCTCTCTGAATGCCTTTAGCTGCGTTATCTGCGCATTAATTGACTGTCTTGTCGTTTGAATGGTACGCGGCTTGCTACTCTATTCTGTATGCTCACAGAAATCTCCAGAATATTTCCCTTTGTACAGAGAGCGAGTCAGCTATTCTTGTAGCGGCTTGAAGGACCATATCTGAATCGCTGGCTTTTGTTGGTTTCGGGCGTGATGGTGAGCCCTTCAAAGGTTATTCGGACAATATTCCTTACTAATTCGCCTCCTCGCCGTAGAATCTAGATGTAAGGATTCAGTAGGAGGGTTCTTCTAACCGATCAAGCCCATCGAATGCATGTACTCATTCGAGTCGCATGAGGAGATATCCAACAAGAGCCTCTGCCTTGACCGGCCTCGGTTGTGCTGTCCTCAAGGCTCGCGTCGTCTGAATCATGGGGTCCGGCACGAGGTGAATGAACTGTCATCCCCAACTCAGAAAAAGATGTTTCCGCGCTGTCAATGCGAGCCACAAGCAGATCTTGTTGAAGTAGTGGGACCGGGCCGCTTGAATGAAATCAACCCGGTCGGAAACATCTCATGGCAGCTCATGGGTACCCTTCTTGTCTTGCGAATATGCAGTTCGGAAAAATTGGCGGTAGCGTGGCATGTGTCGTTTGGGTGAGCTGGTTCTCTGTCGGTGTATCTCATCGCTTCAGAAATAGCGCCTAATCCTGCAATGATGAAGCATATATCGGCATTGTTGCAGATTGGTTAGCAACAAGAATAGGCGGAACCTTGTGCGGTACCAACCTCAGCACCCGCCCCCAGTCACACGTACTGCACGATCAGAAAACCGTGGTAAATAGACTGCTGGCATCTGAGCGTTAAACATATGGTGAGCACGTCCGCTCACTTCTTATTCTCACATAAAAAGTTCCTAATAGCTTATCAGAGACGAGGTGCCCATACGATAGCATATGAAGTCCGGGCCGCCCCATATATTTCTGTGGTTCTTTCTTCTAGGCGGCCTTGTTTTCAAAACTGAGGAAGATCACCAATCAAAAGGGCAATTATCCCTGACAATCGGCAGTTTATCGGGCAAGGGAGGACGGGCCGCGCGTCGTTCTCGTTTCCCGTACATTTTTGAACGGTCAAGACTGCCCGTATTTTTGTCGGAGGAGAAAACTGGTCTATGAATAGCAACAAACATTTTCTAGAGGAACAATCTGTCGCGTCGCTTTGCTATAGGGATGGTCTGGATGATTCTGGAAGAGGACATGTACAAGCATGGAATGAGATATTATCCATTCCGATGTAGAGACATTGTGTGTACGTCGAAACGATGCTAGGCTCTGAGGACCATTGGGGTCAGTCTTACTACTCTGAAGATCCGTTCAAAATCTCATCTCCAAAGATAGGCACATTCGAACCACAGGGCAGACCCTGAGGCGTGGATTTCGTGCCTAATTGTTGCTTACAACACCCACGAGTGTATACCGGAAAAGGTTTACCCTTCCTTGAGACACCCGGAGTCCCTGGTTTGTGCAAGTTCAAGAGGCTGACGACCGGAAATTCTCCATAGCATTATCTTGGCATAAATCAGCGGCTCGACGACCTTGCCGTCCTCCTACCTGCCAATTTAACCTCCGTGGTTCATCCAGCTTTGTGATATAAAACCATGTCGTCGACAACAGGCTACCCAGCATCCCTTGCTTCCTCTTCAAATGTTCGGCCACGCGTTCTACCAGTTCATCTTCACCGCCACAGTGCTCGCCCTCGTGTCGGCTCTGCCAGCAGAGGACCTCGAAGCGCGAGCGAGCTGCGTTGTCGACTCCGTCTCTGCTGCTTCCTCGATATCCAGCTGTTCGGCGGTCACTATCAACGCGTTCACTGTGCCGAGTGGAAGTAAGCGAGGGTGTCTTCTCTTCCGAGTGTCCGCTTGCTAATATACGTACTTTACAGGTACCCTGACGCTCTCAGTAAGATCTTGTACTTTATTGGGGTCGGGCACGCGTCACTGATGTGTTTGCAATAGCCCAAGGCCGGCGCGACCGTCACTATGGCTGGTGATATCACGTTCGCCAAGACCCCTAGTGCG